CAGATACCGCGAACGCGCGGACAGCCGCTCGACAGGCGGCGGTTGGTGGCTTGCGTGACGGTTTTGTGCGTCTCCGCTCTCTTTAACAGCTCTTTTTGAGAGAGGCCCGGCGAGAGCGAGGCGCGAAGCCGTAGAAAAGCGGGGGGGGGGGGGGAAGACCATCTCACCACTCGTTAACGAGCTAACGAGCGCGCGAGTAACGCGCGGCGCGAACGAGAGCGCGAGTCCCGCGCGCGCGAAGAGACCGAATCGGATGAGACCGAATGGAGACGCGAGGAAACGCAACGAGGCGACTTAACCGACGGGGGAAACGTGACGAATGGGCTTCCTCGTGGCGGAAATGGAGTGTCCAAGTTCCCGCATTTAAATATCCTCCTTTTATACAATGTGTGTTAAACGCGCTCCTCGTGCACGTGGCGACGTTTCTTTGTGAAACCGAGACGAGTCACCCCTAACGAGAAATGTCGGGAGGCGTTCCTCCCGAGCTGCGGCATGTTATTAAGAAAAGGGTTATTTTTTTGCGCGTTTCTCCTGGCGGGTAAATAGATAACTCCTCAGCTCATTTTTCGGTCACTTCTCAGATGTAATTTCACGTTGAGAAGTTCTTGATTGAAACGTGACTCCGTCGTTCCATCTGGCATTAGAATTTGAAAAGCTGATGAAATGATAAAAGAACATCGATCGTCCGCCTGCCGAATTAAATTTCAGTAGGAAATAAATCATTCGCTCTTAAATAGAAAATATTTCCCATTTATCAAATTCATTTATTTCTGAATACCGTGAAATTTGCCGTGACATTTTTACGCAGGCGAATTTAATAAAAACGTTCCAATGATTAATTCAACTTCATATTTTTTTATCATATCAGCGGGGGTGGTAAAAAAAATATATATATATAAATAATAAAGCATTCAAATTTCGTATTAATATAAATTTCAGAGAATAATTATCGAAATAACTTTTGCGAATTTTCATATACAATATTTTTCTCCTCGCGTCTTTTTAATATATATTTCTAAAAGAGAGAAGCAGAAGATAGTAAAGTAGTAGTAGTAGTAGTACATATTCTACAGTATCGCTTCTTAGAAACGGTAACGTTAACAATTTATGTTACTTCATCGTATGTTGACTCGGTGACTTCACTCGATAATACCGCACTTAGCGACAGATCTTAACGCACAGGGGCCTTTAACATTCTTTAAGGTGATAGTAAACATCAAGATACGCCCCGGCATGCGAGGAGAGGAGTATGACAAAGTGGCGTTCAAGGGCGCTCGTATGGACGAATAGACGTAATTATTTGCTGTTCCCTCATTGTTCGCGTATTATCGAAGACGGCGAATGTATATACACGACTCTCGCTCGACGATCGCACGTGCACATATACACCCCCCCCCCCCCAATACACATACATTATTTTATATATATATATATATATATATATATATACACACACCTACATACATATATATTTACACGCAGCAAACTCTCGGCCGGTTCGTAGGTGACTCACCGTTTGCGGAGGGTAAATCGACCAATGGTAGTATCAGCAGCACCAACACCGATACAGGGGCGTGGATCCCTTTTCGGCGCGGGAATGTCGGTTCCTGCATCCTGGAAAATGTACGCACACTTTCATTATACATTAGCGTTGAATTATGCAGGACGGTCGGTGCGCGAATTTCTGGCGCGGGCAGCGCGCGAGTACCTGTCGAAATATCTTATTTTCCTCAAAGCGGAGAAGCCGCGAGCATTATTATTGAGCATAATTGTAAATTTCAGTCGGTATACAAAATAACGACAGATATACGCGATACGCTTATCATCGACACGTTCAAATTGAAATTGAAACGATTCATTGTCATATCGAGCTACTATATGTGAAGTTATGTAGCAAACTTCGTTGCAATTAATCCAATTATTGTTATTATTCGTCACGAAAAATGGTTCGACTCGAATGAATTATAAATGTGAAGGATTTTGCGATGTGACAGGAAATTGAATTATAATTCTTTTTCTTAGCTTTGCTTGATATCTCTTCGTATTTAGAATAGCGATATTAAAATTTTTTTCGAGTTTACTTTATGAGCGAATTACGTATGAAATGAAGCATAGAAAATATAAATTATATGTCCGACAAAATGTTATATTATTAGAATTAAAATGGAAAAGAAATGAGAGATAATCTGACGTGGTCAATAATGCCGAATGAGACGGCGCGAATGTTAAAAGTAGATCGGTATGCAAGTAATATAAAGTAGCACGAACCACGTGTCTTCGTGACGATAAAACACGAAGTACGTACAGTGGGGATGGAAAAAGTGGTGATAGATAACTCGAGGTATAGAACAGATAAGATAAGTAGATTAAGCTTATTTACCTCGAGGCAAATGCCTTGAGAAAATACAAAAGAATCTAAGATAAAATATAAAGACAGTCTGTCGACGAACTGAAATATAACTGCACTGATTTACAAAGAGACTGTAACAAAAAAAAATAGATAGAAATTAATAAAATAGAAAAAAATAATAAATAAAAAAAAATTAGGGAATAAGCACATATATGATTTTAATTAATAGACAAATAGATAAAAAGATAGGTTTATTACATTCAAAACGAATATCGTCAATATCAAGAGGACAATTAAATTATTCATTAATCAACTCAGTGTTTGATGTATTGATCTCATAGATACCGCGCGATCTTCTGAATTATTCCGCGCTTATCATATTTGATTCGTTTCATCAAATTTGTTCGGATACGATTCGCTCGATTCAATCAATGTCTCGAAATAAGGACAATCTATTGCGTTTTAACAAAATTCTTGCGACCATCCTCTATGTCAATAAATATAATTACCCTTATATTTACATTCGCAAATAACGTCGCTTGGTTCGATTAAATAAAAAAAAAAAAAAAAAAATTGACGACATCATGGTGATGCATGAAAAATATCAGTGTGCCACATCATGTCTGTATTGTAAATGAATCATTTATGCTCGATAAAATCAATATCTCGAAAAGAGGACGACCAGTCGCGTTTCTGTGAATTAAAGGGACGTGTGTCGCGTGGGACGCGCACACGGCATCTCGTGTAATAGTTTTTCGTTCCACGATTTGGGAAATCTCCCTTATGTTCGTCGTCGGTAAAGCTGACTATGTCACGCTATGTGCTCATGGATATCGAAACTTAATCAATTGCCGGGATGAGATCAATACGTTGGAACGAGAACAGCTAATCCCGGTCTTCTGTGACTTGCAGATTAAAGGTCCTATTCGCTGTACAAAAACACTTCCGGGACGAAAGGTCAATTGATATAAGAAATACAAAGATTCTCTACAGTCACAGAGAATAA